ACATTAAAAGGAAATATGTAACATAGCTCTGAGGAAATATGTATTCTTTGAAACTAATTCTGCTTTTAAACTGCACAAGGCAGGGTGACCTGAATTATTAAAATGTGGGTGGCTGGATTTCTTAAAGGTATAACTATCTCTGCAGCCTCAACTTGCCTTCTCTCCTTCCTTCCTATATTTCTTTTAAGTAAAATATGTCAGTTTGGTCACTGAAGCAGAACAGAGATCTTATTATCTTTCCAGTATCTCTGCTGGGAGACCTAAAATTATTGAAGTATTTGCTTTGATATTTTGCTGCGACTTCTCTCCTTGAAATTTTTATAATGGTTCTTTTTTTTTTTTTGAGAACATGGCTGGCTTCATAAAAATCATTGGGCACTTTGAAGGCCCTAATATCTCTGACTTGAAAATCAAAAAGACCCCGAGCCAACTGAGCTGCTCATTAATGTATGTTTAAATTATAAATTTCCAGTGTAAGTCTAAATTATTGTAGTTGCCTTTAATTCTTTCAACATCCGATCTCCAAGAATAAACTTAAAGATCAGCACAAACCTTGTATTCGCTTTTTGAACCTGTGAAAACAAAATCATGATAAACATCTAAAAACTTTACATGTGAAGGCTGTTGATTAATTCCCATTCAGGGTGGAGACCAGCAGTGAGATTTAGCACCTTGCTTGTCATCTATTATGATAAGTGTCAAATACATTTTTTTTCTTGGTTTGGATTTTCTGCTATTCTTGGTTTTTTTCCCTAGAATCCAGATTTTTAGAGACGATATTAACAGACTCATTGTTTATTTTGAGAGGTGATTTCACTATAAAAATAACAGAACACGTACAGTAGTTACTCCTTTTGCTGAGGAATGTGCTGGTAAGGTCCTCCCTCTGCTGCAGGACAGCGAGAAGGGGAGGAGCTGCTTGTTAAATAAAATAAATGCTACTCCCAGTTGCCATCCTGGGCTGCTCCAGAGTGGACACAGGCTTAGACAGGTTAGTCAGCATGTCCAGATAAATATATATACACACACAGAGCTGTAGGTGTCTGTCTGTATAACCCTGGGGCAGCTGAGGGTGTGACAGGTGACACGGGCCAGGCTCCAGGAGGTCACCCAGTGTGACACCCTGCTCAGGACGGGATTGCTGCCAGCCAGGGATCAGCTCAGCCATGGCCTTGTCTCCCCAGCTCCTGGGAGGTGGGACCCACAGTGTGTCCCATCTGCTGGGCTGCCTCTCCAAACTCCTGTCCCTGCTCCAACTTCCACGGAGGAAAGCAGAGTTATGACCTCTGTGATCCTTTCTCTTCCAAACTCCTGTCCCTGCTCCAGCTTCCACGGAGGAAAACAGACTTATGGCCTCTGTGATCCTTTCTCTTACTGAAAGATTCAATATTTGCATGACCCTTCCCTCAGAAGTTCTCTTTTTTTGGAAGATCCTTTCACTGCTGGTGCACAGTGTCACATCTGTTGTGTCTAGAGAGAAATATTTCACCTGGAGTAGCAGGAATACCCTCGGGACAGGATGGATGTGCTTGGCATGTTTTGGAACCTGTGCAGCACCTTTTTACTGTTGGCTGTGCCTGGAAAGGCTGAGGAGGGCTGGAGTTCAACCTGCCGAGTGTTAAAAGCATTACAAATTATTGTGTAGACAGACAGAGACCAGCAGTTATTTCCTAGCCTTCAATCTGCTATGTGGAGTTTAAAATACTCTTCTGAAAATCTAAAATCTAGTTCCATTGCTTCAGGAACTTGGCAGTTTACAGGGGTAATCTGATTTTTAGTGTTTTGCCAAGTTTTGTTACTGGTCACCACAGGCATCTTGAAGCCGAAACCTGCTCCAGTTATTTAAACACTTTTGGAGTCTGGATCAGGAAGCCAAAGAGCAGAGAGGAAGTGAAATGCTGCACTTCTAATTTTTCCTCCTCATTTTTATTGCATCAGACATGTGTCCATGCTCTTAATTGTGAGAGGTACTTTTTTAGTAGGATAAAGAAGCATTAGAGGTAATTACAGTAAGTATAGTGCATTAATATATCTGGGAATTAAAGGCATTATTTATTATAGGAGAATGGTTATGGCAATGTCTGATGACATACTTAGAGTTAAATTTAATAGGGAAATAATTTTATTTTCATTTCATATATAATTTAGGTGAATGCTGAGCGATACCAATGCCAGTTTGGAAAATGAGAATATTGAGGGATGATCCCACTGCAGAGTTTCCCCTTTTCCCTGTCCCACGGCCCTGCAGCTCCTCAGCCAGTCTGATCTCATCACCAGACATGACCCTCGGGCTTGGCCACCAGGGCTTCCACGGCGAGGTTAACGTGGCTTTTTTCCTGCTTTTCCTGGGATTTTGGCCACATTCCTCAATGCCGTTGCTTGTGCTGAGTGTGGGACAGCCCAGAGTGCAGCTGGGCAGTTTCCATTCCCTCATCCCACTCCTCCTGCTGGGAACTGGAGGGCTTTCCCCTCCCACCACCCCCTGGTGTGGGGGGTATCCCGGAGGAGCTGTGCAGGGAAAAAGAGCACAGGGCACGTGCAGTACCAAAAGAATTCGGTATGAAAATTATTCCAGCTCTACAGAATAGTACATTTGAACGGGGTAAAGCAGCACAGTCTGATCTGAATTCTTCTGGACTGGCAAAATTATACTTGCAGAAAACAGTTCTGAGAGGTGATGATGTTCTGTGACTGGGTCCTGTTAGGCTGCTGTGATCCCTGGGAGTGGGCAATGAGTTAGGATTGAGAACACCAGAACTGGGGGGGGGAACTCTCCTGCAAAATCATGGAATTGGTGCTTGTCTCTCCCACTTGGCGGGAATTTCTTAAAGCAGGGACAGTACTGGCAGGACACCCTGGGATAGGGTGGAACTCAAGGAGAGCTCAGGGCTGTGCAATAGGGAATTTCTTTTGACTTTCAAAGATTCTGTCAACTTCATCATGCTAAAAATTTGGTATTTTTTATTTAAATACGGAATTTTCATAGAGCTGAACTCAGGTGTGATCCCTCTCATAATATATATTTGTGTGTGTATTATAGGCATATAGACATATATAGATATATGTAATATATATATGTGTGTATATATAGGCATATAGACATATATAGATATATGTAATATATATATGTGTGTATATATAGGCATACAGACATATATAGATATATGTAACTTTAAAATTGCATATGGAATCAGAGAATCAAGCAGGTTAGAAAAGACCTCTGGGATCATCGAGTCCAACCTTGCCGTGATTCCCAGCCCATGGCACTGATGCCACATCCAGTCTCAGCTTAAACACCTCCAGGGATGGAGAATCCACCCCTTCCCTGGGCAGCCCATTCCAATGGCTGAGCACCCTCTCTGGAAAGAATTCCTTCCTAATATCCAACCTAAACCTGCCCTGGCACAGCTCAAGATATGACTAAACCCTACATAATTCCCAAATAAATAAAAGCATATATTATGTATACATACATATTATATGTATACATGTTCATATATTATACACACACACATATATAACATAACTGTTGATGTATTTGGGGATGGTGTAGTTTTTAAGTGCAATCCTGTACCAGCCCGGGCTTCGGTAGTTCGGAGCTTTGGAGAATTCAGACATCAACAGTTCTGACAGTGCGGGGGGCTCGGAGTTTCTCAGGAACACAGGTTCAAACCCAACCCCGAGGCCATGGGACAGTAAACAGCCATGGCCCGTTACCCCCTCGGTGCCAGGAGGGTTTCCAGCGTTCCGTGCTGTCAAAGGAAGGGGTTTTGGCTCCTCCCGAGGCACGAGCGTGGCTTTCCATTCCTCTGGGGCAGTCCTGTGCCGCTCGATAAGGTGATTTAGGGACTGAAACCTGCCTTTTCCATTCTGTACGCGGAGAGAGAGACTCTGTTCCCGACATTAGCATATCCCAACCCTCCACACCCAAAATGTGCCTCCTCTTGTTTGAGCTGCGGGTCCTGGGGAAGCAGCACATAAGCGAGCAGCGCTGGGCTCCGGCCTTTGAACACCGCCGATATTAGCGTTTAACAGGCAGCACCGACTCCTTGGAAGCTCGACTTTAAACGTGGCTGTCGAGTAAACTCTCCTTAGATAATCATCTCTGCACGACAGACGTGCTGCTGGGAGGTCTCCTCCTGCAGATCGGCCGGGGAGGGGTGTTAAGTGTTCAGCGCTTGACATGCACTGGAGTTTTATGTTTGCATTTCTAAAGATGTGCCGACTGCTCCTGTAAAGTTGAAATGACAGAGCTCAGACAATTAACAAATTCTTGCTCCTTGACGAAGTTATTTAATCATCCCTTTTCACTCTGCGTCTTGTGGCTGAATGAGATTTGGAATCTGGTACAGGCATACCAGAAATAGCTCAGCGCTTGGTGCTTTTAGCAGCCAAATCCATGAGTAACGACAGCAGATATTTCGGAGGTTTGTGTATCCTTCAGGTGACTAGTTCGTTCCTCTATGCGAGATAATTAGATTTTCTCTTTTTTTAATAGGTTTTTTTTGTTTTAACTCAAAAATAAAATCCCTGCAGTTTGGTACCGAGTGCAGAGTTTTTATTTTGGCACAAAATCTGCGATAGTTTAAGTCAGTCCAGTGGAGGAATTTCACTTGAGTGCGACTGTGAGAGGTTCAGGAGAGTTGTTTAATGTTGTTTAAGTTATGTAAATTGATTTCACACCTTTAATGATTCACTTTGTTTCTTGATTGTCTGCATCTGTGGTTAAGTTTTAAAGGAGCTCGGAGCGGCGGTGGCAAAGAATGATCACGAATTCCTCACCCCTGTACTTGAATATTGAATGCTACAAACAAATGGCTTTGCTTTTATGCTTTTGTGTTGTGGTTTTGTTTTTCTCTTAATTCAAAGTCCGTGTCTGCCGCAAGTAAAGATTAAAGCTACTCGGGCAGTGTAGGTAATAGTTGAAAGAGTTTAATGAAATAAACTCCAGTTGAAAATTAAAGCTGCTGGATAAATGTTTGCATTTCCCTGTTCTGAGCATGTTGACGTTTTATGTTTTTGCAGTGGTGGAAGAAGGATTCTGGGAGAATGGACTTTCCTATGAGTGTAGGACCCTGCTCTTCAAAGCAATTCATAATCTTCTGGAAAGGTAAGAAAAGCTCTAGTGCTCTCAGATATTTCATTCTGATACTTGAAATAATGCAGGGATACCCACAGAGCATTTATGTTACATTGGTCTCAAACCACACTTTTTTAGATATAGAACTTTAGTACAAGAGAGCAGGGTAGAGATGGATCTCATAACTCGTTAACTTTGGTAATTTATTATTAAATTCTGTGCCAAGCAATTAAACACTCATACAAAGAATAATGTTGATATATATTTCTGCTCAGATTTTTACTGGGGAGCTGTTTCAAAAGCAAAATAGAAAAGTTTTTACCTTCCTGAGGTGCTTACAGAGAATAATTTTATCTGACCTTCAGCCCCTTTGAGGTTACATGTCTTGATACATATCTTAAAAGCTCTTAACTCTCCTTTTCCATTCATCCTAGTTACTTGTATGTCACAATTTGATTAAATTTGTGCAGAATATTCGAGGTGAAGCTTAACAGTTCCTGCTTCTGAAAGGCCTAATGTATTCTTTTCTCTTGATCATATATATATATATATATATATTACTTGACTGCAAAGTTATTCTGTGATTAGTTAATACACTTATGGCTTTTTCTTCTTAATCCAGCTATCAACTCTTAAGCTTACTGAAGATTATCTTGTTATTAGGCCTGTAGTGTGTGACGTTGCATCTTGGACTGTAGAGTTTTATTCTTCCTATTTCTGCAGTTCTTCAGGCCATCAAGACCTTCCTGTATTATGTCTTAGTTCTTAGGAATTTGGATATCTCCTCAGAATTAAATTGCATTAGACTAGTCTCAGTTTTTCTGAAGTTCTAATAATAACAATAATACTAAAATATAATGCACCTCTGTGTTACAAAATACAGCACTGGCTGTTTTTTCTTTCAGAAAATAAGCAAATACCTTGATCTTGTCTCGTTCTGTGCCCTGTTTGCTTTGCTGTAGGTTTGTTAGTGATGAGGTTTGTATGATGACTGTCCCCTCAGGGTGTCCCCTGTGTGTCTGCCAGCAGGGCGAGTCTGAGGGGCCATGTCCACAGGTACAAGGATTAGGTGCTGTGTTTCCTATTTTCTATCCCACCAGTCTCTTTAAGGGATTTCTGTAAAAGGTGTAGAGTCCTTAGAGTGAATAAAAGTATAAACATTAAATTCCAAGTCTAGAATGTTCACTAGTTCTTTCATAGCTTTGCAGTATAAAAGGGAAAATTGATTTGATATGTGTTTATTAATGTATAGTACCCAGTTATGTGGACTCCCAGTGGCTGTTTTTATTCTTTGGACCTCCTGTGAATTAAGTTTTTGGTTGTTTTATTTTAAATAACCTCACTGAAATCAGCTGGCAGCAGAACTGTTCTGTTTTTCTCAGCATCAGCTGGTAACTCACCTCAGGTGTTTGCTGAGAGCCTCAGCTCATGTCCTGATAACCTGATGTGATCCCTGTCATGATGAGCTGATACAAATCCTGTCACGATAACCTGAGATGATTCATGTCATGATAAGTGGATTTTTGCCACAATAAACTGATACAACTCATGCCACAGTCCCAGCCCCTCGCCCTTGGACGTGAGCGTCCCACTGCTCTCCTGATGACATTTTTTACAGTATCATGGCTGAACTTACTTCAGGTTATTCCCTTTTTATCTCTCTTTGTTTGTTTATTTGTTTGTTATACCAAATCTGAAGTTAACATTAAAGTTATTATTTTAAATAATAGCAATATGCGTGCGGGCCTTACTAAAAAACAAATTAACGCTGTAAAGACCCATCCTCTCCTGTGTTTTTAGGAGAAGCTCAATTAATAAAGCAGAAGGCTGGAATTCTGTTTTGAGGCAGTAACAGGGCTGAGGTTTTGGGGGGGTTTGGGGTTGTTTTGGGGGGGGTTGGGTGTTTTGGGGGGGTTTTGGGGTTGTTTTGGGGGGTTGGGGTTTTTTGGGGGGTTTTTGGGGTTGTTCTTGGGGGGGTTTGAGGTTGTTTGGGGGGGGGTTGGGGATTTTTGGGGGGTTTGGGGTGTTGTTTTGGCGGGGTTTTGGAGGTTGTTTTGGGATGCTCGAGGCCTGTGGCGGGAAGGAAATGGCGGGAGGATAAGCCGTGAGGGGGAGCTGCCCCTCATGAAGGAGCCGTGAGGGACCTGAGGGGACAACGCGAGGCAGGGAGGAAGGAGAAGCTTCTGCTTTAACTTAACCCTGGGAAATGTGAGTAAAAGAAGGTTTGCACAACTGTTTGTGTTATTTTCCCCCCCTCAGTACCCACTTTAGTTATCCGGTTATGTTAATTGGCAATATGGAAAACGTTAAAAGAGCTGAGGGAACAGTACTCAAAATATTACGGTGCTGTTTCATAATAATTAGTGTGCCCTTGTTGGGTCATTTGTTTTGTTGTTTTTTTTTTCATGGAAAAACCAGAAATACAAGAGGTCAAGCCCCAGTGAAGTGCTGGGACAGCTGCAGTGCTGCGGGAGGAGCGTTTCATCTCCCTATTTCAGATCATTAAATAGCTGCTTTCCATGACCTGGTTTTTGGGTGATTTTTTTTTTTTCTTTACACAAGTCCATTGTTGCAGCTGACTGTGAAAGGATAGTTACCTTTAGTGCTTAGGCAGCAAAAATAACCCGGTGCTGTCATTACCTGCTCGCCAGGCCGAATCCCAGAGCCGTGCTGCTGCAGTCAGGGCTCCCGTTTTATATGGGATTATTCCTTAAATAACCCCTGACGTAGTTTAGCGTGGAGGGTTGACTGATTTTTAAGGCCAAATCTACCCATGAAGACTTTTTTTTCCCTGGGAAAGCAGCATTAGTTTGAGGCAGTTAAACCTGCTGTGGTGAGACACAGCGATGTGGCCCTGGAAGTGAGTGTGTGAGGGGGGAGAGTTTATTACAGTTTTTGCTACTACAGATTATTTTCTTTAGGGATCTGATGTAAACTTCACAGGCTTCCTTTTGTTTGTATAAAACACGCTGGCACTGACAGACACTCTGATAGCAAATATTTCCTAGGGAAACAGTTACTGAAGCTCTTTTTTCTTTTTTTTTTTACTCTCTACCAACGTCTCTCTGCTGGCTCAGCTTTCATGTTCAGTTTAAGATATTGGTATATTCGGCTGAACTGGATTCTTTTTGCTTTAATTGAGAACGTGCTGTAAGAATTTTCTTCAGTTTTAACTTTGGAAAACCCTGCCAAGTTTATACAGAAGGATCCAGGAGCATATTAGTATCTACATTATCAGTCATCCATTTCCTCTCTGTGTCTTCTAGGTGTGCTTTTGAAGTATATATCACACAGTTTTTCTAAACTTTGAAGAAAGTACTTTCCCAGAACGTTTAATGGGATTTTTGATTTTTTTTTTCCCTTTGTTTTGGCCAGTCTCTAGCAACTGCTATAGGAACAAACTATTGGAAAACTTTGAAAAGCGGAAAAATACAGTTCTTTCTTTTAAACAAAAAAAAATACTGAATAGATGTGAAATGTGTGGGTAAAGCTTGTATATTGCTTGTCTGTTAACCAGTAGCAACAAATGACCAATTTTTCAGAATTTTTGAAGCATATTAGTTAGTACCTGACTGAAAAATATTCCTTAGTAATGAATTCCTGGATGTGATCCCTCGGGCACCACGTTCCACTGCATGTTTAATGTGTGGAGCACACTTAGTGCTGGCATATTGCTGGCATGATTCATCTGCTGAGGTGGACTTAAGAAAGGCATCAGGCACTTCCTAACTTGTCAATTTAAATTGGTTATTGATCACTTTGAATCCTCTCCTGTGGGTATTTTTTTAGAGCCACAGGATATGTAGTTTCTGTAAGGAAAGTGTGAAGTTTTAAAGGGATCACAGAAAATGGTGACTTATCGCTCTGGTTCGGTGATGTGGGAGGGTATTTGTTGGAAGAAGGTTTTCTGACAGAGGGAACAGTAATTATGGAAGTTTCAGCACCTGAAATCGTGCTGTGGATCCTGTGAAGGAAAAATGGTTCATTGTTAATGTTTGCTTAATGCAATTTCCTGTCATTCCTATACTGTATTACACCACTGACATGCCAGAAATACAGGAGTGCATGTTCTTTATCGTGGAGTCTGAGAGGAATAGAAAAGAATCAGTACTAATGAATGGCCTTTGTTCAGGAAGAGGAGTGTGAAAAATAGGATGATGGATCATTCAGCAGAAAAAGCAGCACCGAGCAGAAAAGGTTGTGGCAGAGATGAGGGGAGAATCCAGATGTGAAGTTCAGCATCAGTGATGGGACAGGGATTCTCTGTGACTTCTGTGGGAAAACAGGAAGTGGCAAAGTTCTGTGAAACCCCAAAAATACCAAGTTGATTTTGATATGATGGAAATTCGGTTGTCTAATCCCTTAGATTCACTGTCTTCAGAGACTGCTTTTAATGACACCTCAAGATGTAACCAGTAATTGCTGCTGTAATTGTTTTCTAGATGCCTGATGGATAAAAACTTCGTGAGAATTGGAAAATGGTTCATCAGACCCTATGACAAGGATGAGAAGCCTGTTAACAAAAGGTAAGGAGATCTCTGTGTCAGGTCCTGCTCGTGTCTGTGTTTTATCTTGCATGATGGTAATTTGATGCTGCATTTTGGTGGTAATTTTTCCACTTCTTTTACTGTGTAACAAGTAAAATCACAGACACTGTGTGTTCCCATCAGTCACACATAGAAAGCAATTAAGTAGGTTTTCAGCCCTTGTTATGATAATTTAAGATGCGAGGGCGAGGTTGGTATTTATCCATTAACTCCACAGAAATGTCACATTTATTAATATCTTTTGAGCAGCATCTGCCTGTTTCTCTCATTATACAACAGAACTGCAGGTAGTTGTAACGAATTATTTGAATTTCTGGGGCACTAAACCCCAACCTGGCATTTTAAGCAGTAAAATAAGTAGTCCGTAGATTCACTGATTTATTTCCTTTAGAGATGCCAGCCTTGATACACAGCTTCCAGTGCTCAGGCAGCTGCCAAATCAGACCTATAGGAGCAATTAATGCCCTTCTCCCACAGGCACAGAGCCATGGAACAGGGATATCTGGCTCCACGCTCGCTGCCGTTTCCTCTCCCAGCTCTAAAGGTTACAGTGTTCTCAGATCTTCTGGTACTTGCATTTATAGTCATCCGCTAAACAAGGTCTGTCAAAAATAATCTGAGTTAAGCCGAAACACAGATTTTCTAACGGGAATCATTTTGACAGAACTGGGTTAGGAAGTGACTAAACAGGCAGCTATGCTGGGAGATTTGAAGGTAATGAGCAGTGGAGATGAAGTGGGGTGGCAACTTCTCCATCCAGCCCGGCTGCAGTCACAGCAATGTGTCTGGTGGCAGTGGAGGTTCTGCACATCACACGTGATTTTCCCTCTGCTCTGTTTAACTACAGAAGCGTTACAGTGCAGTGCTACAATCCATTGGCTCGGTAACAGATCTTGTGTAAACCAGGTGCTTGGAAGCAGCAGTTGTTTTTGAGGGAATGCAGTAATTACACAGGGATCTGCCTCCTTTCTCCAACCAGAAAGCGTTAACTTAGCAGGGGGTCGCCTCTTGTTTTGCTGTTTGCTTTGTGGCTGACGCTGTGTGTGTGTAACCTCTGATTTCACACTGATCTAATGGCAAGGAGCCATGCAAAGGGCCAGGTTTCTTTGTACCTTCCCCTGTCCTGGCTGTGCGTAACCACCTTCCTCCCTCGTGTTTTCCCTGCCACTTTCCTGACCACACCAACATCGAGCTTAATTTTCTGGAACATTAATTCCCCTAAGTGACGTAAGAAGTGGTCACTTCCAGCCTGTGGAACGGGGAGGCAGTTCCTCTCAGCTAAAGCTGTTTGTTTTACCCACGTCACTGCAGCCTGAGCGCTCAGATTAAATGTACTTGTGAGTCTCCTCCTCTCTGTTCCTGCCGGTATCAATTTAAGAAACGAGGCACGTGATGCAGGAGATGATGTCTGTCCAAAACAGCAGCAGCACTGGCATGGAGGGGATCGTGTCCTTAGAATTCTGGCAGATTAGGAGGTCCTGTGTCTGATTTACGTGTGTGTGACACCAAATTGCTCACCCAGGATCTGCAGGGCATGATTGCATTTGTAAGTGGATGTTCAGTAGGCACAGAAATATATCTGGTCTGCAAGATGTTACAAAACCTGAGTTCGTGTTAAACTCAGTCTGTGTCTGAAACATTCCATGTATAAAACCAGCCTTGAGGATTTTAGGGTTGAAGGGTAGACTCTTGATCTGAAGAAGATAATGTTTGTTTGGTTTCTCTGTTTTTTTTTCATGAAGTCCTTGTCGCTGTAGATCCTCTGGATATGCACCATTTCAAAAACACTTATTCAGCAATCATAACTATGGCCTAATTTGAAATAGGCTGTGTGTTGTTTCAGGTTGTTAACTTTTCTGCTATAAATATATCATTGGAATTAACTAATCTTGCTGGAATATGGTAGTCCAGACTGCAAAAGTGGACAGTAGAGTCACCTGCAGGCAGCAGCAGCAAGTAGTGGGAGGCTTTGGGGACTAATCTGTCCAGACACCTTTTATTTAATCTTTTAAGCTTTCTTTCTCAGTACAGCACAAAAAGCTATCTTCACACAAATTGATTCCTGCTAATTCCAGATAAATTCTTTGTGAAACTCCTGCTCTAAGCAGCCACTTGTTCCAGACAAAGCAAGCAGGAGCAGTGGCAGGAAGAAGGGGCCAGCTGAGAGTGTGTAGGTGCTTCAGCACTGTGGGTAATGCCTTCATAACCAAAAAAAGTGGTATAAAAAAAATACTATTCATAGTTGTGCTAATATATCAAACACTAGAAATAAGCTGCATGTGTGTCCAGTGGTCAGGCTGAAGGGTGGGGGCAGGTAATGCCTGTTGAAAATGCCCTGAGTGTGGAAAGAGATAGATCCACATGGATATGTACCCCCTGGAATGGTGAAAAGCAGCAGGTTTGATTCTGGCAAAGAAACAGAACTATTAGAACGAAGAACTGTGCTTCTGTACTTGTGGCAGAGTTAGTCCTCTCAAATGTCCAACATCAGAGGCACTGGCTTCATTTCAGGAGCACACTGAGGAGTCTGGGCCTGGGTGTCAGTGAACAGGGAAGGATTAAACCCCACAGGAGTAAATTCAGGGAGTGAATCCCTTCAGGGCCGTGGGTTCTGTGAGTGGCACTGGAGGGCAGGGCAGCAGGTCTGTGATTTCAGGGTGAAGTCAGGGGGGAAGTGGAACCTGGCAGTGGCCCTGACCTACTTCTGGGATGGGAGAGGAGCCTCAGAACCCAGAGGGCCTGGCCTGCCTTCCCGGGGTCTGTCTGCAGGATGAGGGAGGGGACAGCACAGGGAGTTCCAGGCAGATCCCTCTCTGGTTGTGTTTTGTTTTCTTTACAGGGCAGACCAGACCCTTTTGACAGGAAATGTAGTGCAGAACTTGTGGGTTTTCTTTCCCGAGTATCTTTAATATCATGTGTCACTTCCTAAACAACTCTGCATGTTTTATGGTCTGTGCTACAGCAGTGTGTGTCTAAATAACTTCCACACTACCAAGGGAAAATGGCAAACTTGATTATTTTTCTACACAGCTTCCCAAAGGAAATCTTTAAGTTTGGAGTTCACGGAAGTTGTCTGATCCGAGGCATTGATAGTGCCTTCCACTGTGGGGTGAAAATTCTTCCTCACAGTCTATTCAGAATCCCTGTCCAAGTTTTGTACAAGGTTTTTTTGTTTGTTTGTTTGGGGAAAGCACCACAATAAAATGTTAAAACATCTTACTGAAAAAAAAATTATGATCACCTTATGGGAGAGTATTTGCTAATGACTTCTGTGATTGTTTTCTTGGTGTGTAGGAAATTGTGGGGAAAATCAGTTTGGCTCAGTATAGTTCAACAGAGTTCAAACTCCATGAGCAATTTAAAATGATTTAAGCTGTTTTCAATTTAATTAAATGCAAAGAGCACCTGAAAAAATAACTGTTGCTTTTCGTGGCTTGGCTAATTTATGGGTCATCCCCTCTTCCAAAAGAAAAGGTTCCATCAGCTGCTCCAGGGGCAATTCTTGTTCAGAATCCCACGGGGAGCTTTGCTCCTGGCACATGGCAGGGCACAGATAATTCCTTTTGGCAAACAGTGTGTAGGTGTTCCATTAAATGATGACATGGTGAAACAAGTTGAAGTGATCTGTTTGGTTTTTTTATTAAGATTTGAATTCCTCAGCTGAGAAATGGTCACTGAGTGTGCACACAGAGGGTGGTGCAGAGAGGTTTTTATTTCCTCCACTTGGAGAAAAAGAAGTCACGTAAATGATTTTGATTCTGCACGTTTGTGTACTTCTATTTTACCATGGTTTTTAAAAAAATCAGTAATGTGGTCGTATACATTGCTTGAAAATGGTGCACAGTGATGCTGTAGAAATAAATATTTACAGTGTTGCCAGCAGCATTATAAATGAGGAAAGACCAGGGAGGAAAATAATAAAAATCAATCTGACTTAATTTGAAATAATGGGTTCTTATTCTTGACTTGTCAAAATAAATGTGATGGAAATACTGAGTAATAAGAAATATTCTGTATTTTCCAATAATTCTTCCTACCCCTGTAAAAATAAGCTTTTCTATTTCAGTTTAAGAGGCTTAGTTCCCAGAGAAATATTTTCATATTTTTGAGGTTTAAGTTCTGAAATGTTCTGTTCATCTTTGCTGAGTTTCTTCTGAGGATTACTTATGGTTTCAGTAAAGCCAACACACCAAGCTGCTGTGTTACATCTGTGGTTGGTTGGTGTTATTTTAATTGGTAATCCTGTGTGTGCTAAAGCTGAATTAACTCTTACCTTCTCTGAAATCTTGGGTGGTGAACCCACTGGAATATGGTCTGTGTTTGTATTTTAGCAGAAGGAATAGTATTGAAATACAGATTGTAAAATAAGTGTTTTTTCATATGCATTTTCCAGCAAAAGCTGAAAATATATCAAGGTGATATCAAAGTGTCCTGATTATGTTCAGTTATTTTAAAGTACTTTAATATAATTTTATTCAAGTATAATAATCTATTATCATTAATCAATATAATGTGGGTTTCTGTTTTATAGAAAAACCAGCAAAACATTATTAACAACTATGGGTTACCTAAAGTTGCTGTTAAGGTGGTTTGGGAAAAGGCTATTCAAGCATTACCATTTTAATGTTATATGTATACTGTTGTTATATATGCTGCTGGTAGTCTTGGATTATTTTGATTGTCTGTGCCATATTCCAAGAATCTCGTATATAAAAACCTTGATGGAAAACATTAGCAAAAAAACTGTGCAGGAGAAAAAGCATTTTGGGCTGAAAATAGTAACGTTCCTGTGCTTTATCACCAAAGCAACTGTCTAGATAAGCTATAAATTAAGGGGTATTTGGTACTCAATTGTCTTTTTATTGGTTTTTTTTATGTAGTAATGAAAGTAATAAAGCAGCATTTTGTCAGAGCTGGTGAGCCCTGTCAGGGAGCAGCCTGGCAATGCCCCAGGTTGCAGTGCCCCTGCACAGCTGTGC